ATAATACGGAGTAACAGGATCGTTTACGATCGTGAAAAGAGTAAGGAGAATTCTGGAGCTACGCCTTTGTTTGACTGTTAACCATTTGAGGCGGGAACGATAGACCGAGATAATATAGTCATATTTTCGAAGGTCAAAATGTATCTAATGCAGTTGTTAAAGAGGCGCTTTAGCTTCTAGCACTGTTCAAGTCCGGGTAATCAATTATTCAAAAATAAGCCTTTGCACAAGTAAGAGCTTAATTTTAAAAGGGAGAAAATTCTTCAGACGATAAAGGGTTCGCAAAGTTACAAAGACTTTACGGCAACTTCAATGACTTATACTCCCCAATTCAATGTACTGTTCATAAAGAGGCCATGGTTTTTAATTGAGTTCGATAGCGGAATACGTTTATTGTTGTAGTAGACAACAGGCAGATTTGCGATGTCAATTTTAGCCACCAATCTACTGCTTCCGACAAGCATTGCTTGGCATTTATTCGGGTTAACAGATATTCCATAACGCATCGACCAGTTATTAATGACACTCAAGTTTGAATTTAGTCTAGAGAATGCGTTAGGTAGGTCACCCATATCAGCCTGAAGGTAAACCTGTAAGTCATCCGTATAAAGATGGACATTTGCATCCGCGCATGCAAACATCCATGGGCGGCGGTTATCACTTAACATCAGGTGAACCGCCAGCTTTTTTGCCACTTTCTCACATAAAAAAAGCTGAAGAAAGGCTCTCGAGTGGCAGGCTCGTATGGCAGGGCCGTCGTGAAGGACGACCCCCCATTATATAGAGGGAAGATAGATTATCGTTGATGGTTGCAGGTGGCTCAGGATCGTGCTTTGCAGCAGTCTGTGGGGCAGATCTATGTTCAGCAGTGGACACAAGTATTCTGAACTCATGATGATGATGATGTAACATGAGTTTCCTTCCCTCACCTGTAGAAAAGCTAAGATTTTTACCCTGGTGATTAGATATATGAAATAAAAAACGCCGATGAGAGAGATGGGAGGGGATGGGAAAAGCTGCTTTGTGTTTTTATTGATGTAATATGTAAAACTAACTTCTTTTTATTACAGGATATCGCGGTAACTCATGAAATTATACACCCAGGATATGCTCGATATCCATTCATAGTGAACGATATTGGACTTTTACGTCTCAAGAAGCTTATCGACTTTTCTGTTGGTAAGTGTTGTAGAATATAATACAATAAATGTGGGATACAAAGGAACAGCCCTTGCTCAATTCGGAAGCGTTGATGTTATTTATTAGGTTTCCTTATTAAACCTATAACATAGTACCTGGTAAAACTTATAAATAACATAATAGTAGACATTTTTAGAAAATATTTTGTCTTTTTTGATAATGTGTACAGTCCAGTTTTGTATTCGAAGTATTTGATATCTGTTACGAGTTATGTTGCATGATATAATTTTACATTTTTTTTTATAATTTTACATATTTTTTTCTTTTTTTAGAAAACGCCGCTCCAATTTGTTTACCAATATTTCTGAATCTTCGGGATGGGGACAACTCCGGTAAAATAGGCACCGTTGCTGGTTGGGGTGCAACGGAAAATGAACAAGCATCTAGTGTTTTACTTCAAGTTGAAATTCCCATACACTCCGATGAAACGTGTAGGGTTTCGTATGACTGGTAGTATATAAAATACAATAGACCAAATTCCGTTAGTTCTTATTTCTTAAACGATAAATATATATATATATATATATATATATATATATATATATATATATATATATATAAATCCAACAAGATTTAGTACACATGAAACAGTAGCATTCACAAAATAAAACGGTTGAGACTTTTGACTTTTTGTATTTTAAATAGCTGGCTATTGAGTACGCATTTCACTTTCATTGGTTGTTTCACTTCCCCGGTCGAGCTATAAACACAGCAGTAGCTGCTAAGTTAGCTGATATCTATCTATATATATATATATATATATATATATATGTATATATATATATATATATATATATATATATATGTATATATATATATATATATATATTTAAAATACAAAAAGTCAAAAGTCTCAACCGTTTTATTTTGTGAATGCTACTGTTTCATTTGTACTAAATCTTGTTGGATTTATTATATATACGATTATTTTATTATATATATCAAATTTTTTTTGAGCTTGCGATTCACCTGATGTTTAATGATAACCATCACCCATGAACATTTGCAACAATCGCAGGTTTGCATATGCGGAAAATAAACAAACATCTAGTGTTTTACTTAAGGTTAACATTCCCATACTCTCCGATGCAGCGTGCAGAATTTCATACGACAGTTACTTAAACTACTTCCCTTAATTTCAGCACTAGTAGCGGTTTACTTTGGCAGAAAAAACAACAGCTTACTTCGTAGCGGCTGCTGTATAAATAGCTTGATCGAGGAAGTTACACAACCGTGAATAAAAAATATTTATACACTAGCGTTTCGTCCGGCGAGTGATTAAATCAGATGCCAACCTATTCAGTGGTTGGTATGACGTCTTATCTATCCAGTCTCTCTTGTTGCGAGTGTTCGTGGGTTGCGGTTCCCTTGCCCGTTTAGGTGAACGGCGTACTCAATAGCCATCCATTTAAAGTCTGAATCGTTCTATTTATTACAAACAGGATACTATAATAAAGAACTAACTTGTTCTCTCTTTTAGTATGAACATATCTCTTTTACAGTCCTTCAAGACCAGGTGAATGGGCGCTTTGCGCTGGGGAAGACGGTAAAGATTCTTGCGAGGGTGACTCAGGCGGCCCGCTCAAGTTCGTAAGCCCATACAACGACTCACACAAATTTGTCCAGTACGGAATTGTATCTTACGGAATAAAATGTGGAACTGATACACCAGCAATCTACACCGATGTCAGAAAATTTATGAAGTGGATTTTGGACCATTAAGCCCTAGACGATTATAAAGTAAAAAGTTGTGATGATACTATCAAATTGTCCTTCATCGTACGTTTTCATTTTGGTCTGTGGGTTAGTAGGATGAAACTGAAAGATATACTAACTCCACATTGAATATATATATTTACAATTACAATTTGGAATTTACAGCTAGGAACATAGACGTTATAGCAATCGCGCGGCGGACGGCAGACTCCTCTGAAGTCACGTCCAGCGAAAACCCGAGCGCGGTCGACGATGCACGAAGGCGCCCGAGAGTATTCAAAATAACGGCTCGCCGTGTGACGGCGATTAGCTGTGATGTCAGTTGTAGACAGGCCGCCACAGGTCAATAAAAAATATCAATGCTTTTTTAATTTTCTTTTATCCGTTTTAAAAGTTGATTCATCGCTATATTTCCGGATCCACTTCCCCATCTCATTAATCCACGGCCCTAATGTAGATATGGGAAGAAGGATGGCACAGTCGAATCTCTTTGTGATTGTTGCTGGGGCTGCAAAGAGAAATTTGATGGCCTGGTTTCTAGCACTACAACGGGAGTGTATAACACGTCTAAATTACTTGTTCTAGTTTATTTTTCATTTTGTGAGGAAGAGGTTGGGGAGTAAGCTCCAAAGACCACGGCAACCTAGAATATCTATCTGTCCTTGTTTAAATAGCAATGTTAATGTATTTTCAGCGAATCGCTTAGGGTTTTCAACAGCTAAGTTGCGCCCTTGTTATCATTTCTTAGAAATCTAAGAATGAGAAATTGTTATGTGTATGTATTAAAAAAGGGAATAATTTTCAAGATGATCACCATTATTTAAAATAAGCTCATGAAACGACAGACAGACAAACCAAAAAAACATCACTATCTTATTTTAACTTCATTCGATAGCTATGTTTTTTATACCACTGTTCACTACTTGATTTTTTTATTTTTTTATTTTTTCTGTAATTTCTCAATTTATTACTTACGAGCGGACCCAACAAACATTGTCTTGTGCACATGACTTAAATCCGACAGCAACTTATAAATAAAAATAAAAAAATGTAGTGGGACGAAGTGTGATTAAAGTGAGACTAAACCATTCTCGGGCCGTCCTGTAGACACACAAAAAATTTCATTAAAATCTGTCCAGCCGTTTAGAAGGAGTTCAGTGACTTACAAACGTACAGAAGAATTATATATAAAGAAAGATTAATCAAGGTGCTAATTAAAAACAGCACTATAAATATTATGAGCTGTGATAGCTCAGTGTCCGGGGCTCGCTTTTAATTCAATATACTCGAGCAACCTGCGTTCGATCCCCGGCGCCGGCACCAATGTAGTTTTTAACTTTAAGTGCTGACTTATCACGTGCTCCGCGGTGAACTAAAACATCGCGAGGAATCCTGCATATTTTCGAAATAATAACAAAAAATAGATATTTCGAAGATACGTGAAATCTGCCAATCCGCAGTGGGGCCGCGTGGTGGACTATGCCCTGATACCCTCTGTATAGAGGAGGCCTTTGCCCAGGAGTCGGACATGTATAGGCTGTTACTTTACTATAAATATTTGTACAACCATGTAATATTTGTACAAATAAAGTGTTATTGTTATTAGCTGATAAGGTGTATCAGTTTAACTTTTTACCTCTCATATGATTCCACGAAGAGCTTGCTACATACACCTTCCATTTCTACCACTAGAATCGACCTGTCCTTGTTACCGAACATTCTAGATTAAGAAGCGCTAAAAGGGAGTTGAGTGGCCTGACACTGATTTAATGGTTTAATGGTTTTAACCATAACTACAAAAAACTTTGCCAATTTCCTAGAAACGGGCAAGAATAAAAAGAAACACATCACCAAACATTTTCTCGTTATATTTTTAGCTGTGGCGAGCTTACGGAATCAAAATCACTAAGCAAAAAAGTAACCTAATTGAGGATTGATATGAATGGTAATAACAGCAAGCAAGCTGGGTAAACCAGATACGCAGATTTATATTTAACTTTGTATTCTGTTTGAAAACAAGCGAGGCCGATAATATAAAATAGTAGTGACAAAGAAACCTCGAAAGACGGACGTGTCAGTACAAAATGTTACGCGGGTCTATCATATTCGCGGCCCTTGTAATCGGGGTTACAAGTGGCTTAAGTAAGTCTTCATATTTCATATTAACAAGCTTTTATTTGTTTACTTGTATCAATGTAAAAAAAATCTTTAAACGTTAACTTCACCTACTTTGGCTGTACAATTTGTTTGAAAATTTGCACACATGTTCAGCTCCGATGACAATGCGATAATTTGTATATGTACAATTCTAATTGTAAAGTGTTGTCAATATACGATGGTACATGGTACTCTGACTTACCGACAATCAATAGTCTACTAGTCACTTTATATGATAATGTAATACCATATTGTGGATATCTCTCAGTGTGAACACGATACTTCTCACTCCCTACTTTTTAAAATATGTTGAGCTTGCTGCCTGAGCATTTCCCCACCTTTTCCATTCTTTACTTTGCCAGAGCGTTCCTCTTCTTGCACCGAACAAAATCCTTCACAATAATCAGTTGGAAAATATATCTAATTTCAAAATCGTTACCTATTTTTTTAGTTCGAATTTTAATTAAAGCTTTTTTTTCATCTTTTTCCTGTACCTGTTGTTAATTGACATATTTTTTTCATAATTTAAAAAGGAAGCTGTGACGATTGCACCGCTATAAATCAATGCCCCATAGCTTTAAATGAAGTGGTCAACAATCAAAATCCAGAAACTGCTGCGAAAATACGAAACGCATTATGTGAGACCGTTGGAATCATGAAGGTAAAACTTTCAGTTTTATAATTTCCTTAAAATTTAATATATTACAGTGTTGATAAAGATTTCATCTTCTCGTTGATTTCTATGTTAACGAGTTAATTGAGGGATAGGTTAGTATGAGATGAAAGTTGGATGTTCCGTTGATAATTTTTTTATTAAATTAGCCATGATATAGTTCTTTTAGCTGCTTCAATTAGTGCTCTGACCCCATGGCTCATGGTCTAAAATAAAATTATTGTTTAAAGTTACTCATTAGTTTTTCAGTACATAGTAAAAAGAAATCTGCTCTCCGTGGTTATATTCGGTGTTTCTTTGAAACAAGTATCAAAATTTAAATATTTATGTCAGCAGGAAGAGACAGAATTTCATGACGAAAACCATTAATGCATAATGAGTGCAGTACAATTACGCGCTATAGGACGGTTTTAGATTTTTCCAAACATTATTGGGTTTCATCTATGTTCGCTGATCTCATTGATCACTTTTATGCCATTTATCAGAATATCTTCTGTAGAAAATAAAATCTTCTTTGTACCGGGGCTGTTCTATGTAAGAAACGCCGCGGAAAAAATTGAACGCTCTGACATACAAATGGGATGGTCCAATTTTAGGACACTGAAAAAACGTTCACGTCCCGAATTTGTAATTTTTTTTGTAGGTTTACATTTAAATATATTATAATTAAAAATATGTAACTATATGTAGTTATGTTAAACAAATTTTTCTTTTTCATTTCTCGTTCGACTATTGTATGTTATAGCTAAGGTCTGAAATAAAATCTTTATGATTATTTTTATTGCTTTTACCAAATTCCAAAGGTGAAAGAGAATATTACTTTCAGAATTTGTTATTTTTATGTTGAAGTGATATAAAACGATAGAATTAGTTGTTCTTTCAAACCAATACTTATTATGTGTGTAAGATATGAATACTCGTTTACAGGTTTGCTGCACAGACTTTTCTATTAATTCAAGAATGTTGGTCGACGAAAACGAAAAAAATAATGGCGATGAAATCGAAAACCATCCTAATCTTCATCTTTTATCCGGTGAATGTGGCGAGATTGAGGGAAATCGAATAATTGGCGGACAAGTTCCCACATTATATGAATTCCCGTGGCTCGCCCTTATTTCACATAGAAGTATGTAAAAATAATAATAAGCATGTCATAAGTACATTTGTACAAAATTAATTTATATTTACATGTAGATTATATTATAATTAGATTATAATGGAATCGAATTCTCTTAAAGTATATAATTTTTAGGGTTCTGTACCCAAAGGGTAAAAAGGGTTCCTAAATAAGGCTCCGTTGTTTTCTGTCTGCCTGTCTGTCCGTCTGTCACCATGCTGTACCTCATTAACCGTGATAGTAAGACAGTTAAAATTTTCACAGATATTGTATTTCTGTTGCCACTATAATAATAAATATTTAAGTGGGGCTCTGATACAGCAGGCATGTTTTTTTTTTGCCGTTTTTATAGATAATGATGGTACGGAATCCTTCGTGCGCGAGTCCGACACGCACTTGGCCGGTTTTTTATAGTATCCAGCAAATGTTTGAAGTAGGTATTCATATTAATTTTTGCAGTTGGTAGAACATTAAAATTTAGCTGCGGCGGTACAGTAATAAGTTCAAGATACGTGCTAACAGCAGCGCATTGCATGAAAGGTCAAAATATCGCTGGTGTAAGAATTGGTGACTATGATATTAGTAAGAAAATCGATTGTTTTGGAGCAGGAGAAGCGCGCGAATGTGAATCTAAATACCAGGTAATAAAGTCATATTATTTAAAATATTATACATTTAGTGTAATTAGCATTCATGATAGCTGAGTGTGATGATAGAGCCGTGATAGCTCAGTGTCCGGGCGCTCGCCTTTAATTCAATATACTCGAGCAACCTGAGTTCGATCCCCGGTGCCGATTAAGTTTTTAACTTTAAGTGCTGACTTATCACGTGCTCCGCGGTGAAGGAAAACATCGTGAGGAAACCTGCATATTTTAGAAATAATAACAAAAAATATATATTTCGAAAATATGTGAAGTCCGCCAATCCGCAGTGGGGCCGCGTGGTGGACTATGCCCTGATACCCTCTGTATAGAGGAGGCCTTTGCCCAGCAGTGGGACATGTATAGGCTGTTACTTTATATCATCCATTGTAATAAGACCATCCATTGACTTGTCGTCACTCCATTTGTATCCATCTGTAGGGAAGGCCTTTATTTAACAGTAGACACAAACAGGTTGAAATGATGATGGTGATAATGTCATATGAGTTTCGGCTAAGCTTCCCATCGACGTCTGTCGAGTTAGGGGTTGATGATGAGAAAATTTTTTGAAAATTTTGAAAACCACAGAATTTTGCCATATAGCAAACGTACAACGTTTCCAACCGTGAACTGTTCTATTATTTCGATTTGTACTTTTCCACATCCGTTTTTTGCTTTTTATTAAAATTTGTAGAAAATGGTTCGATTCGGTTAGTGGGTAAGATTCTCACAGCGGCGACAATCTTTTCGTGCTTTTTCTAAAAATTTTAATGTTTAATATAAGTGCAGAGATAAGCACTTTAAATATGATACACATGAGAGGTGTCAAGGGATACCCGGATGGAACGAAATTCTTTTCGATTAATTAGTGAAGGAATTGTAATAACATTTTATTTTTTTTAAGTTATAATAATATTTTTTTTATTATTAACAAATATAATGTAAAATAAACTTAATCAGTAGGCTCAATACTAATAATAATAATTCAATACTAATAATAATTATTCAAAAATAAAAAAGTGTCGTTACAACTTTTCGTGAGAATTTTTTCCGTCTAGCCCCCTTTCACAACTCGCGATAAGGTACTTCGTTCCAAAAATGATGTTCCTGGTTTTTCTCCTATAGTCTTCAAATAAAATTGGTTACATTCAACTTAGGTCAAAGAACCGAATTGATTCACCCTGACTCCACCTGATACGAGTCTGTCGGAGGTACCCTCCTCCTCCTATGCGGCGTGTTAAGCAAGGACGTAGAGACTGGTCTTTCCGCAGCGCTGGAGATGTTTCAGTCTCAAAGTAGATACAGAAATCCCTCTGAATCAGTAACCCCATTTTTTATGATTAGGGGGAACCCTTCTAAGGGTTTCCCCTTATTTTTTACACTCATTATTAATTTTAATTCATAAAATGAGGAAAAATTCCTCAGATTTAAGGATTAAAAAAAATTGCTGGGTATTTCGCAACTTTTCCTTTTAAGGGGGATAATACGGGAGGTTCCCTCTCCCTCTCTCCTCTTCAATTAGATGGACTTCCATGGAAAGTTGTACCTGAGTTTCCTACCTTACGTCGCATATTGCAATATGAAATATGAAATTGATACGTCTATAGAAGAAACTGATTTGTGTTTTAATTGATTAAATAGACAAAACTAGCTTCTCTTCCTTTCAGGATATCGCGGTAACTCATGCAATTATACACCCACAATATTCTCGGTATCCATTCGTAGTGAACGATATTGGACTTTTGCGCCTCAAGAAGCTTGTCGACTTTTCTGTCAGTAAGTATTGTAGAAAATAGTACAATGAAAGTGTGATACTATAGTACAGACCTCGATCATTACGAGAACGTTGAAGTTATTTCTAAGGTTTAATAGACAGTTTTAGAAAATACTACAAATACTACAAATTTTAAGTTTAATCTTAAGTGCAGAGATTAGCACTATAAAAAAAATTTTTGTCGTCTCTAACAAGTATTTGCTATTTCGTACGAGTTATGTCGCATTATCTTCATTTACTTCTTATTTTCATTTTTTAGGAAACGCCGCGCCAATTTGTTTACCAGTATTTCGGAGTCTTCGGGATACGGACATCTCCGATGAAATAGGCACGGTTGCTGGTTGGGGTGCAACGGAAAATGAACAAGCATCTACTGTTTTACTTAAAGTTGAAATTCCCATACACTCCGATGAAACGTGTAGGGTTTCGTATGACAGGTAGTATATAAAATACAATAGACCAAATTCCGTTAGTTCTTATTTCTTAATGTATCCCTTAAACGATAAAGATAGATAACAGCTAACTTAGCAGCTGCTGTGTTTATAGCTCGACCGGGGAAGTGAAACAACCAGCGTGAAGAAAAAGTATTTGTAACTACTTGCCTTGCTTGCCTTTCGTCCAGCGAGTGAGGTATTCGGACGACTTATCCGCTATATCTCCTTTGTTGTGATTATTCATGGGTGAAGGTCCCCTTGTTTATGTGAAACGCGTACTCAATTTCCAGCTATTTAAAGTACAAAAAGTCAAAAGTCTCAACCGTTTTATTATGTGAATGCTACTGTTTCATGTGTACAAAATCTTGTTGGATTTATTATATATACGATTATTTTTTTTATATATATCATATTTTTTTATATGACAAAGTGGCAAACGAACTTGCGATTCACCTGATGTTGGGTGATAACCGCCGCCCATGGACATTTGCAACAACCGTTGGTTTGCATATGCGTTGTCATCTTTTCATAAAGTGGGCCCCGGCTACCGCACTCACCAGATGAAACGCAGTGTAACACTTCTTCTTCGCGTCGGTCTTCTGTGAGGTCGTGGTACTAACCCGGACGGATCCGCCTATTTTTGCAACAGCGAACACTGTAGGGCCACCTACCACAGTGGTGCCACATTACATATGTGGCACGTTTTTCTGTTTTGTTTATTAGTATGTATCTCTTTTATAGGAATTCACGACCTGGTCAATGGAGTCGGCGATTGAAAAATACGCTATGCGCTGGGGAAGTCGGTAGGGATTCTTGCAAGGGTGACTCAGGCGGCCCTCTCATGCTCGAAGGCCTCTACAACGACACATACAAAATTGTCCAATACGGCATTGTATCTTACGGAATAGAGTGTGGAACTGATACTCCAGCAATCTACACCGATGTCAGAAAGTTTATGAAGTGGATTTTGGACACCATTAAGCCTTAAACGATTAAAACGTAAAGAGAAATGTTGTGGCCATACTATTAAACTGTCGTCCATCGTACGTTTTGATGTTAGTTAATAAAGAATTATCATTACTTTATTTTCATTTTTCGTTTATCCGTTTTAAAAATTAAGTAATTATTCCCCATATTTTCCACTCCGCTTTCCCATCTCATTGATCCACCGCTCTACTGGCTTCTATGGGTAGAATGGTGGCACCGCCGGGAGTCTTTTCGTGATTATCGCTACGGCCACAAGGAAAATTTTGACCGTTTCTCTCACTGTAACGGGCTTTAAAGTTTTTATTAGATATCCATCTCTCCCTTCTGCGGCCTTTGATTATATACACTTCTAGTTTCGTTGTCCTTGTTTGAGTGGCAAAGCTTATGAATTTTCAGTGAATCGGCGCACAGGGATTTTCAATAGATAATTCACGATCTTATTTTTATTTCTTACGAACTTAAGACTAAGAAGCTGTTAAGTGGATATTATATAAAAAAGTGAAGTTTCCGAGATAATCACCATTTTTAAAAGATATGAATAAAACGACAGACGGACAAACAACGCTTTAACTAATTATGTGTAGGTGTATTATTTTACCTCTTATATATCCATGAAGAGCTTGCGACACCTTCAACCTCGACGACTAGAATCAAAAAGAAAGGGACAAGATATTTAGTATCCTATTTCTGGTTTTTGTAATATCAAATCAAGTCGTTTAATTATTGAAATAAGAAATGTAAAGTTCGTGTATCGATAGTAATTTTTTTAAAACAACCACCGTCGTCATGTGGTTTCTTTAATGGAATAGAAACAGGCGAAAGAAGTACCGTAATATACTATTCGAAATAGTCAACATTATTTGACTACGGCAAACTCACTTTAACTAATTTAGTGTGTTAGCTGAGCTCTACAAATGTTACATACAACCATAAGAAGCTTGCTTAACTAAACCAATCGAATTAATAACAATGCATAAATACATAGGGCCAATAACATATGTTAGTTAGTGTGCAATGAAAATCTCTTCATGCATTAATTAGCAAAAACTATAAACAAAAATAAGTGCGAGAACTATCTCATAGTGACTCCATTTGTTTAACTTAGATAAATTCAATTGAATAAGACTAAATCTGCTATCAATATCAGAAACGCCATTTGTCATCAATGTTACCCATATGATTTATATTTCCCGCCATCATCGATAACTTAATAAATGTAAACAATTCGATACCCAGACGTGACAGCTCATTGTCCGGGCGCTCGCTTTAAATTCCATATACTCGAGCAACCCGAGTTCGATCTCCGGTGCCGGCACCAATGAAATTTTGATTTTTTAATGCGTGCTCACCTATTTCTTATTCACCTATTTCTCTCACATTAGGCCTGGACGTGGGACTGATTCTCAAAATTGTTTTTTTATTCGAAATAGTATACTCCTGAGGTATTCCCGTATGTACCAAATCCCAGGGAAATCGAGGGCGACCCTCAAATATTATACATAAACATGTATGTGTTTACATGAACATGTGTTTTCATATATTTTCTAAAGCTGACAATAATAAAGACATTTGCGTATGATCATTATCATCATCTCATGACGCTGCGCAAATGTATGTAAGAGGTATAATTCTTTAACAGTTAAGGACATAATTGATTTCTTGTTTTAGAATATTGTATAGATACTTGTCGATATCGGAACAGAGTGAGTGCTAGAAACTAGAAGTGTTAGTCATTTGAACCGTCTTTAAGAAAACAAGGAGGAGGTCATCGATTCGGATGTTTACATGTCTTTTATGTGTGTTCGGGCACAACCCCACAGACAGATTTGCAAAATTATTTTTCTTTTTCGAAAGGGTTTTATTACGAAATAGTTCCATTTATATTTCACACAGATCTGATGATGAGTTTCGGAAATAGACAACGGGACTTTTCAAAAAATTACAGCAAATCAACCGCGATTGCTGCTATCGCATAAATATGCATTGTTTAGCATCTGATGAATCAAACAACCTAACATCACAAGGCAGATGTATTCAGTATAGCTGAGAATTAGCGCGTTTACACAATTAATACGCTATTTTCGCGTTCTCAACGTTCGCAAGGCAATTCAAGTTGAGCCGTTGTCAATTCGCCAACGTAATTTGTAATCTCTGTAAATACACGAAATAATTATAGCCAAACGAGAAAAAAGATGATTATTGTAATTTTCTTGATTTTCGTCATTTACCATACGTAACATATACTTTGCTGAAAAATTACATACCGATTTCACTCCTGAGCCATATAAATATGTTGTTATCGAGGGTTATAACGAATTGTCTCACCCAAAAAGTCCATGACCAGCCCGTGGAGCAGGCCAGGTTTTAAAAAGATTTCAGCACAGCACTATATTTTATATTGTAGACCACATACATACACTAAGGCAAATTACTCTGATGACCAAAGAATACAACCAGCGTCTATATGTGGCGTATGTGGACTACGAAAAAGCTTTGGGTACAATCGAGACTTGGGCTTTTCTAGAATCCATTAAGAGATGCCTAATGGACTGTCGATATATCCAAGTGTCGTCTAAACGAGACCGCAACAATGTCCGTCCAAGGACAAGGTCCAAGCACGAGGCTAATCCAATTGCACCGTGGGGTAAGACAGGGGGATGAAATTTCCCCGAAACTGTTTACTAATGCATTGGAGGAGGTCTTTAAGACGATGGGTTGGAACAGACGGGGCAATAACATTAATTGCCTTAAGAACACACATGCGATTCGCTCACGACATTATCATCATAAAAAAAGCTCTGCAAGATCTTGCAAGTCATGCAAGGCTTTTAAGCCATGCTCAACAGCCTGAGTGATTCTTCGAGACAAGTGGGTCTCGGCATGAACTTTGACACAACGAAAATTACGTCCAACAGTCATGTGATTCCAAGAACAGTAGTCGTGAATGGCGCTATGTACGAGATTGTGCAGGAATATGCCTACCTTGACAAACTATACAACGAGGCAGGCACAAATATAAAAAGAGGCCAACCGAATAATACGCTTAGGCTTAGCGGAATTGGGGAAGCTACGATAGATTCTTGAGACGACAATACCGCAACGCCACAAGTCCACAATTTTTAAACAGTGCGTCCTATCACTAATGACCTACGGAGCCGAAACGTGGATCCTCACTGTGGGGCTGGTCCACAAATTGAAGGTCGCTCAGCGGGCGATGGAATACAAAATGCTTGTGGTTTCTCTGGCAGACAACATTCGAGACGAAGTCATTCACTAGAGAACTAAAGTTACCGACATTCTGCGCAGAATTAGCAAGCTGAAGTGGAACTAGGCTGGCCATGTCTCCACATGTACTGATGGTCCCTGGAGCCGACACGTTTTAGAGTGGACACCAAGATTAGGTAAACGTAGTGTGGGATTGCCTGTAGCACGATGGACTCACGACTTAAGAAAGGTAGCGAGCAGCGTATGGACGCGGGCTGCCCAGGACCGGGATAGTTGAGACACGTTGAGAGAGACCTACGCTCAGCAGTGGACAGCGATAGGCTGATATTATTCAATTGTATTGTAACATATACGTTTTTTTACATTCCATTTACGCGCTGGTCACAGCCCCTCATTTGAAATGCTTCGAGATTTTCATTCCTTATTTGCTTTTTATCGTTTTCCTTTTTCAGTTCGACGCCGTTTTCTCACAAGAGCAGCGTCTGTGTCTATGTATATCTAGGTCTACCCATATTTTATAATACCGAAGTATTAAAATTAAATCACTAATAATAAAAAATAAAGTTTTTTAACAAAAAAAAAAGAACCGACTTCAAAAAGTTTAAAATATTACTAAATCTAATACATATAATCAAATCTTTAACAAGCTTGCATAACCTAACCTACCTAGCCTCTAAAAAACTTTAATAATTTTTGGAGTAGATGCCATTGTTCAGCATGTGTAATGATAAAAAAACCTTGCTAAAAAATAGAAAGAAGTTTAGGTTGTCTAATAAATAGGCTAAAAGATATTTAATATGTCTTTCATCCACCTAAATTGTGAAACAAACTTAAGAGAATGATTTATGCTCAGATCAGTTAAGTTAGGTTACGTAGGCTAGATTTTTAAGATTTGTTAATATTAGATTTAGTATTATTTTAAACTTTTTGAAGTCGGTTCTCTTTTTGTTAAAAAACGTGTTTAACAGTCGCGTATTAACTTGCTATACATGATTTTTAAAAGAAATAAGAAGATACTATAAAATGCGTAAAATAATATGTTTATGAGTATCTCTTCAGCTATCGATTCGATTAATAACATATAAGGTCAAATGTTAAAAGGCGTCCGCTGTTTATCTTAATTGCTGGTTTTACTCTTTATCACTTGCTAAAAGAAATTATTGCTTCGTGTTTGGGGTACAAGGCCATCGTGCGTTGCTATCTTTGTGGATGACGTATAATGGTTTTTACAGGAATTATCAATGTTTCAATTGGTAATAAGTCGTATGTTGGAATTTACGATGTGACTGTTGTTTGTGGGTAATTTTACTGAAGGTTAATGTAACATAATGTACATATAAGGAACGGTGGGTATAAAGTAATTTATCGTTTATAACCTTAAATACACTCGATTATCTTTTTTCGATAGAATTTAAGGTTGATTTATTTCAAATATTTTTCAGTTATTGTGTATTTCATTTTTGTGTCTAAATGAGAGAACATAGGTAAATGTGACTATTAAAACTAGTATTGCAAACTATTGTTGCATTGCATCAGCAATCATTTTAACGAAAGCGGTGATTTATGATTTTGTTAAATTAGTAATTTGTTACATCATTTAACTAATAAAGAAAAAAAAAATACTAAAAATAAATAAATAAAATAAAAAATAAAAATCCTTTAACTGTACTGGTTTTGCGGTTGTATTGTATGTAAATGTTATGGGAAAACTGAATTGAAGTAAACTATGAATTCCAAAATTTCATCTGCGCTTATTTAAAATCTAAGTAACATATTACATATATCCCACTATTATGCAAAGAAATAATAACAAAAAAATTGTTATTAATTAGAAATAATGCATGTTTCTTCACGATGTTTTACTTCACCACTGAGCATTCAACAATTCATTGGTGCCGGCACTGGGAATTGAACTCAGGTTGCTTTGTCTGATTGAATATTTGGGCTAATTATGCGAGCAATTTCACAGATTATAAGATGAATTGAGAAGCGCCATAGGTGTTATATTTTCTCTTTATTTAAAAGTAGTTATAAATATTTTCAACATTTAGATGGTCATTTAAATTTGGTTGCTAAGTATGTACGTCTGTCTTCTCCTTTAATTTATGACAACAATAAATAATTAACCAAATAATTGAAGTGATGACTAATTTAATTTAATATCGGTTCAAATGCTAATTTTCCTCCTAATTAAACATTAAAAACAAGCACACTAAACAAAATAATTGTAGAATATCATCAACGCCGGAAATCGTATTATCAAAGTACTAATTTCCTGGTACTTTAACTGTGTGGATTTCAGAATTAGGCACGTGATAGCGATTTCCGAGGAGGCGAGAGCAATTTCACGATCCTTGCAAAGTAGGTCCAGCAGTAAGTTTAGCAAAATTTTCTTACCGGTATCCCCCGGTGCATCAAAGTAGAAGAGGCCTTTATCATAGCAGTTTAGCTAAATCGTAAACTTTCTACGTTAGGGAAGTTAACATGGCACCTTTTTCAAAATATTTCAGGTGACTTCGGTGGCGCTGTCGCTAAGCTATCAGGAAGGCGGCCAGTCGTAAAAAACACAACATGCATTCCCGAATTACGACTGAAAACTGCAGAGCATATAGATTTGACGCCAGCACACAGCCTTGTTTAAAGCTGCAGCTCACAGAGAAGAGCTCTGAGCCTGATTACCCAAGGCAATAGTGGTCAAGCAATCAAGGACTTTACACATTGTATCACAAGATAAAAATAATTTTAACAAGAAAAAAGAACCGACTTCAAAAAAGTGTATTAGCACCAAAAAGGTTAAAATAATACTAACTTTAATATAATCAAATCTTGAAAATCTAACCTATATAACCTAAACTCTAAACAAATTTAACAAATTTTCTACATATTTTAATGTTCAATCTTAAGTGCAAAGATTAGCACTATAAACAATTTAAAATTTCTAAAAAAGCAATCCCGACATCTCTTGTTCGAATTATCGTTGTAAAACGATATTCGAAATTGTTTGTATGCTGGAAAGGATATAACAATAGATGGCGCCAAGCATTGATTCAAATGCTAAGAAAACAATGTAGAAGAATGCGTTAAGATTTTCGTCGGTGTGTCAATCAGCTGTTTAGCTCAGTGGCTAGAGCGTCAGGCCGCGAATGCCGAAGACGTGGGTTCGATTCCCACAGCGGCGACAATCTTTTCGCACTTTTTCTACATATTTTAATTTTCTACATATTTTAAAATTTAACAATTTATGGAGTCGGTGCCAACCCATGTATATCTGATCTGAGCATACAATTATTTTCTTACTTAATTTAGGTTGATTAGATATATAAATAAATACATATAACTATCTTTTAACCTATTTATTAGATAACCGCATTATTCATTGTTGCTTAGGTTCTTTCTATTTTTCGCAACGTGTTATGGTGTACAACAATTACCCGTGGTGAACAATGGCACCGACTCCGAAAATTGTTAAATTTCGTTGTTGATTTTAAGGGTTCCGTGACCAAAGGTAAAAGGTTAGGTCCTTATTACTACGACTCCGTTGTCTTACTGTCTATCTGTCCGTCTATCACTAGGCTGCATCTCATGAACCGTGATGGATAGACAGTTGAAAATTTTACACATGATGTTTCCGATATAAGAACAAATACTAAAAAACAGAATAAAAATTAATTAAGTCAGCCTCCCATACAACAGACATGATTTTTATGCTGTTTTTAGGTTTCCGTACCCAAAAGGTGAAACGGAACCGTATTACTAAGTCTCTGATGTCTGTCTGTCTGTCCATCTGTCACCAAGCTGTGACCAATCTCTTGAACCGTGAAAGTAAGACAGTTGAAATTTTTACAGATGATATATTTCTGTTATCGCTATAACAGCAAATAGTAAAAAACAAAATAAAAATATTTAAGTGGGGCTAGCATAAAACAAAATATTTTTTTTTGTTTTATGTTATGTTTTATTTATATTCAAAATAATTATTAATTCAACTCGCACTTGACCGGTTTTAATTTTCTCAAAATCATTTTTATTTTTAGTGATTAATATTTAATACTTAGGTATTATAAAATATGGGTAAACCTAGCAAAGCCGCTGCTCGTATGACAAAACGGCTCGCTCCATTATTGTAAGCCTTTAAGGTGTTGTTCTATTGATCATCATATTCGACTACCATAATTACTTGACCATAGCGAAGTTACGGTAGGTGACTCAAATATGCATGCGGCTGGACCGGATGTCCAACCACCTGGAGAGAGGAGGCCGGAGTAGCCAGTCACGCCAGGTCCGTAAGATTGAGTTTTCGTGTTCCCGTGTCCCCAGCAAAAGTGACAGTGGAGGTGCAACGTGGGTTTTTATTGGGTACCTCCGTGCCTACCCACGAGGCGTGGGATCCATAAATGATTTTTTCCCGCTTATAAAAAGGTGACTCAAATATCCGAATCGCCTATAAAAGATTCGGCCCAGTATCATAAATTTGCTCCTGAGAACTGAAGAGTTCCGTTACTCTATCATGGATTCTATAATTAGAACCTAACCAAACGCTCATCAGATTACCCTTGAAGAACATCCTTTCCAATAAAAAAATATTATCGAAATCTGTTGGCGTGATATTGACTTATTTGTCAATTTGTCGCGCATATACTTAATGCAAATTTAACACTTATATTCTCATGAATGCCATTGTCAGAACTGGACCTCATTGTAATGGGATCTCACGAGAAACACCAGCTTTCAAAAAATGGATATGTTTTTATATTATACTAGCGGCCCGACAGACGTTGTCCTGTAAACACGACTTAAATCCGACAAAACCTTATAATTAAAAAAAAAAAAAAAAAAAAAAAAAAAAAAACGAATTGTGAATCTTAGTCATTCTCGAATCGACCTGAAGACACAAAAAAAAATTCATTAAAATCGGTCCAGCTGTTTAGGAGGAGTTCAGTGACGTACAGAAGAATAATATATATAAAGATGGAATGTACGTTTTATATAAATAATTAAATGTATGTGTTAATTTTTAAAACTGATTACCTCTTACAGTAAAGATTTGATCTGACTTTAGAGGAATATATTATTATCCCAATCTGAAACTTGTATCAGAAAGATACGAAGTTATAGTGTTTCTATGGTCATTTATGAGATGGTTTTACTGTGACATGGTTCGAAAATTCAGATGCAGTTAACCATCCGTAATCATCATCACCGGAAGACGTAGCGTCGGAAGGCCTCCCTCTAGGTGGATCGACGACATCATAAGAGTTGCGGGCAACCGGTGGATGCAAATGGCAGTGTCGTTCGTTGTGGCTTTCGAAGGGGGAGGCCTATGTTCAACAGTGGACGTCTTGCGGCTGATGATGATGATGAATCATCTTTATTAGTCGTAATGGCATGCACCTGGTTTGTTTTCTTTAGCCAATTTTAAAATTTTCTATTAAAGTGGAAAATATCCCAGTCCTTTCGCATTGCACTGTCAGATTTATTTTGTGTAAAAATAATAATAGCTGGTGTAAGATTTCATTCGCTACTGCTGGTATAAGGATATATTAGAGTATAGAAAATTCAACAGATACCAACGATTGCATTCATGGGAAAAGCTTTAAAATAACAAATAGAATATACAATAACATTACTTTCGGTTTGTAAACATCCAGTTTTATCGGTTGGTAGACTATCTAACTGAAAGCTTAATCCACTACTAAGACGCTTAAACAGAGGATCCGCGAGGCTATTGAAAGAACATATTAACTTCAATAAAGAAAGGTTGATTGGGAGTTATCAAGAGCTCGGGTTCCAGTATTTTACTAATTTATCAAAAAAACCGACGGACCTAAAAGTTAATAAACCTTAAACTTATAAATAATGATAAAATTGATGTTAGACCACGTCCATTTCTACATTGGTACGTAAAATAACTCGGTATGTCACGTGACCTTGTTCGCTATGTTGTGTTCGAAAGGTAGCGATTTTCATAACTGATTAAGCCACTGAATCCGTGTACTAGTTGTATTTAACCATTTAATTCGTATTAAATCAAAACTTTTTATGAATTCGTTTTAATATCAGACGAATTAAAGTAATTATATCATTTATTGCCACGAGACATTCTATTGTCATTTAGGCTCAGATCCAGCTATTTAATTTATTTGTTTTTTACCCCATCTTTTTGTGTTGCTTGAATTCTCTAATTATTTATTAGTTTTTGCTAATAACCACATCGTACTTGGATATAGTAAGTCAATGATTGTTCCTCAGCATGCCAGTTCCTTCTTACAAACATACAGATGAGTGCTTTTTATTCAAACTTTCCTTCTCAGACCTAAATTAACCTTTTTAAGATTTTTCTGAAGTGGCTTCGAATTCACTTTCGATTATAATATGTGTAGTTGATCAGGGTTATTTCAGTTACATCAGACTCCGTTAATGGCTGATAACAAGCGAGTCCAATAAAATAAATATAGTCGTGACAGAGAGACTGGGAGAGACGAACGCAATGTGTCGTGTTAAAATGTTACTCGTGTCGACGATATTCGGGGCGCTTGTTATCGGTGTGGCAAGTGATTTAAGTGAGTCTTCTATTTTATAATATATGCAAAACAAGTCTTAATATTAAGATGATCTCCAGGCTAACAGAGGATTTAATGATAATTTTTAAGAAGTGCTTGTTAATTATTTACAAAGTTTACTAATTAATATGCATCAATTTCTCATTTAGTGGCATCAATTAATCAGTCAGCCTTTATTTTCATGTATTACAAGGAACCTGCGACAGTTGCAGTAAAATAAATAATTGCCCGCAAGCATTAGAACTCGTAACTAACAACCGAAGCCCGGAAACTGCCAACAAGATCAGAAAAGCATATTGCGGGACCGATGGAGTAATTAAGGTTGATAAGAGATTGATTACAAGAATTATTTTTTATTAATTCATATTTTTTATTAAGTCAAGATTACAGAATATCTGCAATAGCAATTATGTTTCTTTTATTTTATTGATGTGGGAAAGTAAGTGTAATTATGTTTTTGTTATGCCAATTATACATTGGCAGGTTTGTTGCACAGATTTTCTTATTACTTCACGAAATCTACCTGAAAATAGTAATGAAGAGAATAAAGAAGATGAAATAGAAAATCATCCCAATCTGCATCTTTTATCGAATGAATGCGGCGATATTGAAGGAAATCGAATAATTGGTGGAGTAGCACCCACACTCTATGAATTCCCATGGCTTGCCCTGATTTCACATAGAGGTTGGTATATTTAGCAATAAATTTAAACATTTACATAATAACATGATATTATACTTCTTATAATTTAACTTTATATTTTGTTATACTTGGTTATTATTGGGGGAAACTTCTCCTATTTTATTTTTTATTTATTACTCTATTGTTTTACTAGCATTGGTTATGGTAACGTCAAAACGGGTAAATTTCTCACATAATTTGTTTATTATTATGTATTGGAGCATGTATTTATGGCAATTATACCTTCTAACAGTTGGCAGATCATTAAAATTCAACTGCGGCGGTACAGTAATAAGCTCAATGTACGTGCTCACAGCAGCACATTGCATAAAAGGTCACGAAATTGCTGGTGTAAGAATTGGAGATTATGATATCAGCAAGAAAATCGATTGTTATGGAGTAGGAGTATACCGCGAATGTGAATCTAAATATCAGGTATTTATCCAAAATTTACATTCAGGTATTTTAATTTGATCAGATAAAAAGAATAACATTATTTGTATTGCTTCAATCTTATAACGTATTTGTGTTGTATCCAAAATGATCAAAAGACTGAGAGTCTGAGAAAACAAGGAGTGGTAAATTGATATGGTATGGCAACGTTGTGAGAAAGGATGAAAGTCATGTGACTAGAAGAGTGATGAGTATGTGTGTAGTTGGAGGGTGTAAAGCTAGAGAAAAACCCAGAAAGATTTGGATTAACTGTGTGAAGAATGATATGTTTGTGCAAGGGGAAGTATTGAGATGACGGCTGATAAAGTGGAAGGAAAAAATAAGTTGTGTCGACCCCACCTAGTGGAATAAGGGTAGGAGAAAGAAGAGACGATTAAAAGATTTTAAATCACACACATTTTCAATCACACGTTCTATTTTTCTTTGCTCTTTTAGGATATCGCCGTAATCCGTGCGATCGCACATCCAGATTATGTTCGAATTCCAGTTGTATTAAATGATATCGGCCTGTTACGTCTCAAGAAGCCTGTCGACTTCAAGCCCAGTAAGTGTTGAGATATTTTTATCTCAAGTATAGTAGTTGCTCTGTACAAATCATGTCAATATACTCGTAACTTTGAGCAGAGCTTTAATCAGCTATGGCATAATAGTCGGTCACTAATCAATTTATCAAAAGTCAGGAGACACTCTTAAATAATTAATAGCAGATAGAAAGAGATTTCACTGGAAACATCAAATTAAAGCAGTATGAAATGAATCTTTTCAAGCCAATGGCTTTGAAATGTCGCAACACATGTGTATTAAGATAAATTCTAAGGAAGTAGCTTCGTTAATACAAGTCAATAATCTGCTTCGCGTTTATTCACTTTTATTGCCTTGTTAACTATACCTATATCATTATTTTATAACATTTGTGCCTCTATTTATCAGCGTTAAATTTGTAATTTTATTAAACATTTGTCTTTTTAAGCTTCATTATATTTTTTGTAATCAGGGAATGCTGCTGCAGTTTGTTTACCGGTGTTTCAAAATCTTCGGGAAATGGATATAACCGGTGAAAGAGGTACTGTAGCAGGCTGGGGCGTAACAGAAAGTCAATCACGATCAAACATTTTACTGAAAGTTTCAGTACCCATATATTCTCACGACACGTGCAAGGCTTATTATGAAAGGTAACAAATATTTCAATTTTTAAATAACTAATAAAATAAACTAAAATATTTAAGAATAAGTTTCAAACAAGAAGCTGTCACGGCTAATGTAAGCTTTCTCTGAAACTCTGAGGTTTGATCTCGATGGTCCTACTCGAAATAAAAGTTCAAGATTTTGAATACGAATTAATCCCAAATCTTAAAAGGTTTTGGGACGGACCGTTGTGGAATATAAGGACTACGTCTTGAATTAGAGCAAGTGATGATTACATGAGACTCAGCAGTTGACCATCATCATTTGCTAGACAGTACTGTCCGACCTAGCACATGTGTACACATTTGCTACACATTTGCTAGGTCTTCATTTGGGTCAGTGTGCACTTAAGTTTGGTTACGTCCTCTAGGTCCAATCACTATGATGGATGTCTTAGTTTGTCATACAGCGTATACATTTTACTTTTCACAAAAGTGACAATTCAATTTAAAAAAAAAATGAGCGGTTTATTTGTGCGCCTGTTCAATTGTACCGTCTTACAGTTTAAAGTCCCCACTACCCGTGCTTTATTATCTTTTCGATTTGACGTAGTCAAAGCCAAAGACAAAATTTCTTTACTCAAACTAAGCTTAATTTAAGTTCTTATTGAATGTCCAAAATGTTGTTATCTCACTCTCGTTGAAAGTTTCTACTCGTTCTGATGTAGTTTGACATGCAGTCATATTGGAAACAGGTATTTTAACTAGGACTTAAGGGCGATGTAGTAATCTACATAGCTCTTCTTCAGTCGGCCATGGAGCTTCTTTGGAGATCAAAATCAGGAACCCAGAAGCGTTCTAAAAGTACACCGCGCGTTTACTTCCATTACTTGATCCATATTATTGTTAATACAGTCGGTATTGTACTATTGCCAAGACAGAAGTCGTAATATTAAAATTAATATATAACTTATTTTAATTGACAAATATATCTATATAATCTTCAATTTATATTTTAATTTAGTATCAAGTAAATATATTTTTTTTATGTGAAAAGTTGCCAAACAAGCAGACGGTTCACCTGATGTGAAGTGAATACCGCTGCCCACGGATATCTGTTACACCCGAGGGTTCCAGACGCGTTGACAACCTTTTGAAAATTGGGTTCCGGCCACCTCACTCACCAGACGAAACGCGAAAGTAATGTACTTCCACTTTACGCCGGTCTTCTATGAGGTCGTGGTACCCGGACGAGCCTGCCCATTCGTGCAACAGTCGAGGCTGCTGTGTGGCCCTACATGACAAATGCTAAATGGACATCATTTAATCAACAATTTTCAATTTCAAATCATATTAAAATGAGTGTGAATGTAGATAAACATGTAGACCAGGGCCTTGAAGCCTTTAAAAATGGTAAAAAATTGTTTATTTAAATACATCAGAGGATTATGCAAGAAAAGTGTAAATATAAAAGTTGTACATATTTTTATTACTTACAACTTTGCCATTTAAATTTTCTCCATAGGCCTTGTTTTGCTGGAAATCGAGATAAACTGTTTTTACCCTTAAAAACTCACTCCCTTCCCCACTTCCCGAACTCAGGTCGCCCGTAATTTATTTTTCCTTTCATTTTTCTCATATTCCCTTCCTTTTCCAATGACTTTCATGTCATTGTTATTTTTTTGGTTACAAAAATCATCGACCCTGGTTTAATGAGTTTTGTTGATTGATTTAATGTTTCATGATTGATAATGTTTTATAAAGTTAAAAAAAATCCTATCTCCATCAGCAGTTTCGATTTTATACATTATTCACGTATGGATTGTTATAGGAATCGTAAACCTGGTAGTAAACCGAGTAACCGTTTGTTAAAAACGTTCTGTGCTGGGGAACTCGGCCGAGACTCTTGCAGCGGCGACTCAGGCGGCCCGCTTATGCTTGAGAGTCCCTACAACGAAACTTACAAGATGGTACAATTCGGTATCGTGTCATACGGACCATCCCAATGCGGAGCTAACACGCCAGGAGTCTACACGGATCTCAGAAAGTTTATGAAGTGGATATTAGACACCCTTGAACCATAGACGGAAAATAACAAAAGGAAAAAACGGAGGATTGTATTTATTTTTAATAAAGCATGATGGTATTCAATTTTTGTGGATTTTATTCATCACTGACGTTAAAATGAATATTGATCACATGATAACACATGATTAGAAATCCTTACTTATAATATTATACAGGCAAAAGTTTGTATGTATGGATGGATGTTTGTTACTCTTTCAAACAAAAACTATTGAATAGATTTTAATAAAACTTTACGATAATGTGATTACGCTTATACATCAGATTAACACAAAGCCTATCTATAATAATATTATAAATGCCAAAGTAATTCTGTCTGTCTGTCTCGCTTTCACGCTAAAACTACTGAACCGATTTAAATGAAATTTAGTACACAGATAGTCTAGGGCCTGAGAAAGGACATATTTTAAATTGGAAAAAAGTGTTGTAAAGGGGTGAAAATTCTTAATATATATTTAAGGGCTTCAATGCAAGCGAAGCCGCGGGCGAATGGCTAGTAATATATAAAGATATTGTGTGAATTGTCTAAAATATAGGTAAGTGTCAACCAAGTAGGAAAAAATTCAGCCATCTGCGAGATATTCTGGTTACATACCTGACAACATTTAAAAAACTCATTGTTAATTCCCTTTGGCCGCGCGAGTGAAGCCGCGGATAACAGCTAGTATAATATATAATAAGATACTCTTTGCTAGTTAGCAATTCTAAATGGCAAACTCCTATGCCTTTTTATCGAATACTGTTTAGCTTGGTGTGTACATATTTTATTCTAGTTATAAAGCGGGTAAATTTTAAATGGTTCAGGAAACGTCGTTCATAGTAGGATACCTATTACAAATCAATTTCATTGAATTCTCAACTAAGGCAAAAAGTGCTTGCACAGTTGCCTGTAAAACGGTAAAAAGGCACTTTTATTTTTTTTTTTATGGGAAAAAGGCGCCAAACTAGCAGGAGGCTCACCTGGTGGTAAGTGATCACGGCCCTCCATGGACATGTGCAACACCAGAGGGCTTATAAATGCGTTGCCGGCCTTTTAGGAAGGTACCTTGAAGGCTCCAAGATCGTAACACTGCTGTCATTTTGGCGGCAGACTTAAAGAGCAAAAGTAAAATAGAAATCGAATGGGACTAGTTGCGGTAACTAGGATTTTCTACCAAACCAAATTCTCAACAAGACTGGCGAAGTATTAGATAAGATAAGATAATCATGTACAAACGATGTAACATGTAACATTTAAACGTAATTATTTGTGTTAACAGTTTGCCTATTTCGGGCGTACAATAAGAGAAATGTAAATAACATAAGTAAAGTGTTATTTTATTCAACAGTTATATTTATTTAAATAATAAAAAAACTACATATCATATATATTATTATTACGACCCGAATGGCGTAGTGGGTAGTGTACCTGCCTTCTGCGTCAGAGGGTGTGGGTTCGATCCCCACTACTGGAAAAATATTGTGTGATGAACATAGTGTTTTTCCAGTGTCTGGGTGTTTATATATCTATACTATGTATTTATTTACAAAAGAAAAAAAGTATGTTTAAGTATGTTTATCAGTTACCTTGTACCCATAGTACAAGCTTTGCTTAGTTTGGGACTGGAGAACGTTGTGTAAAAATGTGTCCTAAATATTTATTTATTATTTTATTTAGTTTAACTTAAAACTTTACTTTTGTACCACTTTTTTAAGATACTATTCAGAATATTTTTTAATAAACCAACAAATTTCTAGTATATAAATACATTTAAGGGTTAAAATCTTATTTTTGTTGAATATAGGCAGATATTATATTGTATATTTCCCCTTCACATTTTTTTGTAGCAAGAAACTGGAATTTATATTTACCGAGTTTCCCTTAAACATAATACCATTTCTATAAGAGCTTCATCTGCGGAGCTTACATTCCCCATAATAGAGATAGACATTCACTAGTAATTGTTTTATTATTATGTTCTATGTGAGGGGTCCAGTTTAAATGGCTATAAATTTTAACATATAATTTTTTTTTTGATTGACTGTGTTGATATGACAACATTAAGCAATGTTGTCAACACTTACCACAAGAAAATTACCGCAAGAAGTAAACATTACGTTTACACTTTATATTTAATAAATTGTATAATTTTTGTCTTACTTAGCTAAATTTTGACTTTAACTTAAATGACTCCCTTTAAATCATTTAACTACAATATTAACGCCCGGTTTCTGAAACACTGATCATCGTAGATGTCAACTAATCAGCTGTCAAATGAATTTCAAATTTCATTTTAGTTGCCAAAAGGATGTTTAAGCTCTTTGAATTGATCATCATTTGAATTGATCTGACATCTACGATGATCAGCTTTTCAGAAACCGGGCGTAAGAGTGCTATACTATAATATCATAGCATTGTCAGCAAACATTTCACATGTTTATTTATAATGGTTAATAATTAAAGGGAATTCATTCCGTTCAGTCCCAATACACTAATGTGAGGAAAGCTCAGTTTTATTTCCTCGTGGCTAGATAGAAATTGTACAAGCGTTTTTGATGCTTTATCAGATGTATCCAAGATTGTAGTTTGAAATCTGTTGGTAAGATAAGATTCGATTAGTTTTATCGCATTTACACGGATTCAATGCCTTTGACAGGTCTAACAACAGATATAAGTTATTATTTCATTCTACTGATCGATGGCGCAAAAGGTGTATGCTACGTGCAAGCTCTGATCTTAAATTTGTCAATGCTCATATTCCACAAGGCTGCGTACCTACTTTATTTCTTCTGCATATCAATGACATATCGCAAATCAGCAACGTTCATTGCTATGAGGACGTTAGCACTGTGAATGTCCCGTATGCTGGCGGTGCTAACATTTCTCGGGAAAACATCTATGAGAGCCGGAACAAGCTTACGTTTGAAGTCGAGTCTTTGTCAACAAAAATTTCAAGTTGGGTTCTACTAAATTTAATCCAATTCAACCCCAATTAGACACAAGTTTGCGCGTTAGCAGCTTGTAAGTCGTAACTCCTCATTTTGTGAGACACTCCCCTGCCTATTACAGTTAGTATTTTTTTTATGTGAAAAGTTGCCAAGCGAGCAGACGGTTCACCTGATGCTAAGTGAATACCGCCGCCCATGGACATCCGCTACACCCGAGGGTTGCAGATGCGTTGGCATCCTTTTTGGAAATTGGGCTCCGGCTACCTCACTCACCAGACGAAACGCGAAAGTATTACACTTCTACTTTACGCCGGTCTTCTGTGAGGTCGTGGTACTTACCCGGACGAGCCTGCCCATTCGTGCAACAGCCGAGGCTGCTGCGTGGCCCTACCATCATAAAATGACCATAGTATCGGAATACTTGACGTCGAAATCACGAGCAATGTCCAGTCTCGCGGTCCATTGGACGGTATGGCAAAATTGGTCGCAAAAAAGCTAAAGGTGTGCTCAGCAAGACGAGACAGTACTTCACGTCGGCTCGACGCCTCAACTTATATAAGGCGCAAATTCGGCACCACGTGGAGTACTGTTGTTATCTCTGGGCGGGATCCCCCTATTATCGCAGCTAGGGTTATCGACGGTTAAAGTTTTTCCGATCGGTTTGATCATTTGGCCCTGCGTAGAGATGTTGGGCACCTTCAGGAAGACAGCATACTCTTTCCTAAAAGACCGATAACGCATTTGTAAGCCCTATGGTGTTACAGCTGTCCATGGGCAGTGGTGAACACTTACCATCAGGTAATGTGAAATCAACACCTTAAGCAGTCTTACTAATTATGCAAGTCTTTAGTTTTGAAAATCAAACATGAGTCTGTTGGAAATTAATTAAAACTTCCAGTAACCCCATAATAAAATAATTTACCGTTGAGGACTACTGAGTTATTCAACAGATTACAGGTATTAATGATGTTATCATTTCGGATATTACAAACGAGTGTTTCATATTCATAGCCTACATTCCCGTTATTGATTTTATTTGAAACAGGATAATTAATAGTTTAAAGTTGTAATAAAACGATATAAGTTTACTAAATATTTAACTGAATATGTGTCAATAAACGCGTCATTGACACACAAAAAAAAACTGGTTTGTGGTTTTCAATTGTAACTATCAATTTCTGGCATTAGAGTTAATTACTCGTCATTCCAAATAGCATAAATATTTACATCTGTTATGGGCATGCAAACGATACTTGTTGTTTTCATTGGAATTTTGTAATTACGCATTTGCGGGTTTTTCATATTTGTACAGAGGTTATCGATGTACTAAAAACAAAACCGAATAAATGCTACATATTTTGTATCATTAATTTAAGAAGGTTTTCTGTTAGGTTAGTATTGTTTCAGTATTAACAATAAGGTTCAGTATTTAACAATATATAATAAAAATTCAATGTTCGCATAAGAATAATTAGAAAATATTGCGTATTCTAAGTGTTTATCTAGGAGTAGAACCTAATTTGAAGTAAATTTCTGATTTCTGATTCATAAATCATGTGCTGCAACTCATTCTTCAATGAGCTTTTAATGTTTTGAAATTTGATATAGTTTATAATTGGATAAGGATCAAACTCAAAAGGCGCTGTCCTAAAATTTTGCGTTTACCATTTCCAGCTCGAACATAGACATGTTATTTGAGTTAATTTAGACTCATTATTAATTCTTAGGGTTCAGTACCCAAAGTGTAAAACGGGACCATATTACTAAGACTCCGCTGTATGTATGTCCGTCTGTCACTAGGCTGTATCTCGACGGTTCCTACCACAGAACAATATTACTCTTACGACAAGAACGACAACTCCTTGCATTTGAAATGCATACACGGGGCTCACTAGCGCTCCAGTGTATGCCCTCGAAACTACCGGAAATATATGAAATGATAGAATGTACTCAATACAACGTTGTCATGTATTTAACTTTAAGAACATAGATTATATATATTTTAAGAATTATCAGATCAATTTAAATTGCTACTGTCATAATTAATTCTTATATTAATGTATAATTT